CCCTAACGGAATTGCCGCCCTTATCGGACCTGACTCCATCCCCACTGCCGGACTTGTCCAGATCATCGCCTTCGTTGGATTCCTTGAAATTGGTTTCATGAAGGATGTTCCCGGAACCGGAAAYGAGTTCGTTGGTGACTTCCGTAACGGATACATTGACTTCGGATGGGATGACTTCGATGAGGAAGAGAAGCTCWCCAAGCGTGCCATCGAGCTCAACAACGGACGTGCYGCCATGGCCGGAATCCTCGGACTTATGGTCCACGAGAAGATTGTTCCTCTTGGATACGATGCCGATCTTCCTATCATCGGACACCTTCAGTAAATTAGTTTCTTCGAATAGGTTGACCCCGTGCTCAGCTTGACGAAGCAACGTATTTTCCTAATTATTTTAGTTGAGAATATTTGAACAAAATACTACTATCTGAACACACTAGAACAGTTTTTGTGCAAAATATTGTCTGAAACACACGATATAGAACTGTTTTTGTGAAGATACTTTCGATTACTGAGTGGATTAAACCTGTTTGACGCAAACTTTTGTCTGAAACACACGATATGTGTGATAGAGTCATCAAGTGTACAGAGCGCTGTCTCAATCACATGGCTACCGTCACAGGGTTACAAGTGAGGAAAACGATCTACACCAACAATCAGAGTGGAAGAGTGACCCGCTTTTGCATCTGAGCTGCGAAGTACACGGAAAAATAGGAAGGAAAACTTTACAAACTCCGTCGCGAATGGCATCAAGCCTCGGGACTGTCGATGACGCGATGGTTCGATTGACGATGGTTCGATTGACGATGGTTCGATTGACGATGGTTCGATTGACGATTGACGACTGACGACTGACGATTGACGACTGACGACTGACGATTGACGATTGGTTACCGACGGCGATACACTTTAATTTCAGTCCGGAGCTATTATCGTATTTTAGTTTGGTTAGAGAGCAAACTGCCTAGATCGCTCTATTATTCTTACTACTAGGCGAGGTATATCAAACAGGTCGAGCGCTACTACCACAATTCGTGCCGTAAGTCTATTTTGTTTCGTTTAGGTTCCGCAACAGCTTGGATTTTCGCTCATCGGCCTGCGGGACGAAGGTGCGAAGGAATTCTGAAGCGCAGACAGCCACATTTTTGAGAGAGAAAAAAACTGATGGAAGAAAGCGGAACAAAAGGACGGTATCTTTTATGACCGCAGTGCAACGTGCAGCGCGCGATATCGGAACATGACGCGTGTCGTGTCAATATGATAATTATTAATTATTGGTATCCCAAAGAACTACTATGAGACCGTAGTAAGTACACCTAAATGATACCTATTCCAATCCCGTATGAATCATAGATGAATCACATCCATGACATCCGTGACTGATCCATGATTGATTTGGGGGCGATTGCATCAAACCTGCGAATGTTTTATGCTCCCATTACTGCGTGTTARTACCGTGCGTGGTTTACAATAGAGGAGTGAGGTTATTCACTAGCTACTCGGGATTTAGCCTCACAATCATGGCGAAGAAAAAACCATGGATTGATCTTGACGATAACAACAACACAGAAAGTCCGCCATCACACTTATCGACCGACCACATGGCGGTGGACGATAAATAAGTTGRCTCTCATCGATTGGAGAAGAGGTTGTCCATTTTTTCTCATAGGGACTTAAAGGTTGACGTTCCTGCAACAATTCGATTGCCTATAACAGCTATTCGGTAGAGCGACAAACGGAACTGTGTACAACGACGAAGAAGCGACGGACAACGTGAAAATCAATCACAAGATCAGTGATAGTACTTTTCGAAAGCGATCGTGTCACGTTCTTAAGTTTCAAATATTTTTTCTCTCAAAAGACGATAAAGGACACCCGYTATAGGTCACAAAAATTGGCGATGAACAGCGAAATGAAACGAAGCCGAAGTCCGTTTCTCTTCAAGCGACGTATCCACGTATCCACGTATCCCCCCCCCCCCCACCGTGACGATGAATCGTCTTCGGAAAAAGGCGATCCGTTTCAAAATACGAATAAATCTATCGCTACGATGCACCGTCTCCCGAGTTCGACGTTATCACTGAAACGGGCGATCTCTTTCAAAATACGATTGAGTCTAGTACGACGATAAATGATCTCCTACGTGCGACATTATCAGGGAAACGGGCGATCTGTTTCAAAATACGATTGAATCTACTGTCAAAAGAGCACACAAAGAAAAAGAGTGATTTTGTTCCTGTGGAAGGCATTGCAGCTCTTTTCTTATCCAATTTCCTGAAGTCCAGAAGAGCTCACAATACCTTTTTTTGCAAAAGCAAACCACTCGCTTACAAAGAACATCTAGACTTTGCAAATCGTATATCCCCAAAACTCCTCACCATGAAGTTTTTCACCTCCGCCTTTTCTATGCTAGCACTCATCGCTGCCACCTTTTCTTCTGACAGCATGAACTTTGCTTCTGCAAAGACCGTGAAGATCAAGGGAAGATCGACCAACGAGAAGTCTTCCGAGAGCAACAAGCTGTCCTCGTCCGCAAGTCCTCCTTCTCCACGGTTCCAGACTCCTATTTTGGAGTCTCCTCTTAAAGCTGAGAAGGGTCGTCTAGTCCTCTCTGGTTTTGATCCAACCGAGCCCCTGACCAAAGCAGAGGCTACCTTTTTGGAAGAGAGCATCCGCGACGTCTTCAACATGTACCGCGGGGAAATGGATCTCATCACGCGATCCGTTGCCATCCACCACGACCTTGTCGAGTCTAGCGACAAGAAGGGTTCGCTCCGGGGTGCCTCCAGAAAATTGATGATTTGGCTTGACTACAATCAYTGTCAGTATCAACGTGGTCCCAAGAAGGGCCAGTACAAGCCTGGTTGCGAGTTTGACATTGACTTCTACCGGGACTGCTATTGCCACGACTGCGACAATGACAATTACTACGTTATGACTGACCAGCCGTCCACTTCTCCAACCAAAGACCCCTACAAACCCTGGTTCCGTCACATGAGTGACGATGATATTCCCAACAGAACTCGCGATCCGTCTACAGCGCCTTCGTCTAGTCCTGTGCCTACCTCTGTCCCTACCTCTGTCCCTACCCCTGTCCCTACCCCTGTGCCTACCCCTGTGCCTACCCCTGTCCCTACCCCTGTGCCTACCCCTGTGCCTACCCCTGTCCCTACCCCTGTCCCTACCCCTGTGCCTACCCCTGCTCCTACTCCGGTTCCTACCCAAACCGTGACCAAAACCGAACGCTCGCCCAAGCAGCCACTTTTCAAACGACGCAATRCGGCCCTGTGCAAGAAGTTGAAGAAGAGCCCCTTTTCCCGCTTCCGCAAGGTCAAGGGATGCCGCGGGCTCTAGAGGAAATGGAGCGAGCTCTAAATTATTTCGAACGCTCGGACACCGTTTATGTACGCAAGCGCCGATGGATCGAGATCCTTGTATTGGCCGCGAGCGATGACGAGCCACATCGACARGAAGGAGAAAGGAGCAGAATCACCAACAGCATCAGTTCATCTTYACGTGCAATTACCTTGTGAAAGTTGTATGGTAATCGTGACTCAAAATACCATACTGTAAAATAATCAATCTATAAACTAAGATTAAAATAWTGAATTCCAAACCTCTTGTTGTTGCTACGAAATTAGCTTGTCTCGATTGCAAATTCCATCGTTTCTTTCTTTGTTTCGCACCGTGTGTCACTGGTACTTTCCTTTGGGTCTCTCTTGCATCCAATCGGTTAGTTGCCCACCTCGTTCGTCCATACCTGAATCTTTTTGTTGTGGTAGTCCGGATCCACCAGGGCRTCCCCGACCGCCCGGGCGGCGTCCCGGCGGTTGATCCTCCGGACCTTTCGCTGCCTCTTTTGCGGTTGCGGTTGCTGCTGCTCCTCCTCTCGCGGCGGTCCGTCGGTGGGAGGCACGCGGGGGGCCTCGTTCTCGACCACCATCAGCTTGAGCTCCAGGTCCTCCCCGACAAAGTTGTCCTCGAAGGTGGCAAACTGCAGGACGGAGTAGCCGAGGGAGGGGAATTCCATCGGAATCATGTCCTCTCCCTGCCGCTTGATGTCCAGGAAGGTTCCAAAGGGGGTCTCGAAGTTTCCGAGGGCGTCCGGGCAGCTCGAGACGAGCAAAAAGTCGATGCCCGCGGCTTCGGCTTCGGATCCGGGGCCCTCGGCCTCGTCTCGCCCGGCAGGTGGTCCGGCGTCGTCCAKGGGGGACTCCCTCGGCCTCCCCGTAAAGGCGGTCATCTGCCGCCTCCTCTGGATGGCTTCCYGCTTGGAGTTTTTGAGGGCCCCCAGCATGTTCCGGAGCCCCTCGACCTCCACCCGTCCCTTGTCGGGGTCGGCGACCGCCCGGAACAAAAAGGGCAGGCCGCTGAGGGGGCCGCTCCCCCCGCTGAGGGCCCTCGGGGTGCTCCCGTTGAAATCGGTGGCGCACCAGACCACCACGTCGGCCCGGGAGTCCTCCACGATGGTCCGGCACTGGACCGGATCGAGGAGCTGGTGGAACGTAACGTAACGTAACGTAACGTATCGGATTCGATTCGGGCGAAACAAGCCGGAAAAAGAAAAAAGAGAAACCATAAAAAACACAAGAGACGGATTGAGAAGAGGGGCATTTTGGAAAACAGGACCGCCGTCCAGCGATGGCCACCGAGGGGACCGAACAGCGATGGCCGGGCCTTCCTCCGAGCCCACCCACCAACGCCACCCACCAGCGCCTCACACAGAACGAACAAACACCGAGACGCACCTCGCACTCCACCACCCGCAGCTTCTGCAGGTTGTACGAGCYCATCCGCTCCTCGTCGTACTCAAAGGTCGCCACCCGGTCGTCGGCCGACCAGGCCGGCCCGATGCTCCCCCTCCCGTCCTCGGCGCCGACCTCGTAGGCCAGGCGGCCGTAGCCCCGGGAGGTCTCYGAGTTCTCCCCCACCACGTGGACCATCGCGACGACCTCTTCGATCTCGGGGTACTCCCGGAGGATCCTCCGGCAGACCATCGATCCCAGCCGGCCGTTGGCGCCCACCAGGAGGACCCTCTTGCCGTCCAGGAGCGAGGCTTGTTCCTCCCTGGCGGTTCTCTGCTCCTCGGCGAGCTTCTTGGCCGCGTCGAGGGCCGCGGCCCGTTCGTCGGACAGGGGCCGGTCGGGGAGGTCYCCCTCCATCCTGCGGATCTGCTCGCGGAGCTCCTCGGCCTGGGCCCTCCACTTCTCGGCGTCCTTCTCGGCGTCSTTCTSGTTCTGGTTCTCGTTCTCGTTTTCGCTGCTTTCGTCGYCGCTGTTGCGTTCGGGYGGCTCGGCAAAGAGGACGGAGGCAGCAGGAGCGGACCGCGYGYGGGCCGGGAGGGCACCYTGGGACGAAAAGGCCGCGGATTCCCTACAGGCGGAACAGGCTACCAGGGCCGCCAGGGCGAGGGAGACGACCCACCGGGGGCGTCCCGGTGCTGGTGCCGAAGCACTGCTRCTGCTGCTGCTGCTGCTGYTGTTGTTGTCTTGTTCTCCGGCCATCGTTTGTGTTTGTATTGCTGTGTGTGTTGGTCTTGGCTGTGTTAGATTGGGCTTCTGGTTCTGGAAGGACGTACAAGTACTACAACGGCGGGATTGTGCTGATATCCAGTTCCATTCGAGAGGAACGAACCGAATCCATGCCGTGCTAGAAAACAGGCGGGCACGGAGGAAACTCGTGGGAAAGGGATCTGGCTGTGACGATGACGCGTTTTCCACTATGAATAAGAGTAGTACTCGTACTAGTATGAATGAATCGGAACCGATTGCAAGTGCTTCCGTGGTTTTCGTGTGTCTTACGGGACCCCATTTTTTCAGTCATGATTGAAAAACTACCCTRGTTCGAAGCCGGCTGTACGGATACGGATCGTACAATCGTACCGTACATACAATACAATCGTACCGTASAATTCGCAGGAGAATCCACATCGACCATGCATATCAGGGCATACCGTACGGTAGAGCAAGAGAGAGAGAGACGGCCTCTGACCCACCGCATCTCCTCGGAACAGCACAGCACAGCACGGCACGGCACATCCCCCACTCTTTGACCTCCTCTCGCCAACAACACACCCGATGCTGCCCGTTCTCGCCGTTCGGCCACCAGCGGCCGTCCTCCGGGCCTTYCTGCCGCGCCAGAAGGGGAACCACCTCCGGCTCTCGTCGGCCCTTGCCGTCTCGCCGCGTCCGGGAGCACCGGCCCCTGGCTCGGACCCCWTGCGTGCCGGTCTCTGGGCGGACGCACCGCCTCGCCATCCGCAAACGGCGGACCCCCGCCAGCAACACCAAAGGCGAGAAAAAGGGCCACGGCCACAGCGGCCGTGGAAGGGCAGGTTCTGTTGCAGGTTCTTTTCCACCGCGTCCGGCGGCGGCAGCGACTCTCCATCCGGGGACCCTTGCGCACAAGAGCCCACCGACTTTTTCGAGCTCTTTGGCCTCCCGCGGAGGTTCGGCATCCCGCTGCGGGACCTCARGCGGACCTACCTCGGGCTCATGAACGAGCACCACCCCGACAAGCGGGTCCAGMGCGGGGGAAAGCCCGGAGAAGGGGCCATCGCCGCCGAGACCATCACCCACGCCTACCAGACGCTGAGGGACCCCCACGCGCGGGCCTGCCACTGGCTCGAGCTCCACGGGTGTCCCCTCGGAGAAGAAAGAGAAAGCGGCTCCCCGACCGACCTGGTGGGGACGGACTTTTTGCTCGGCGTCATGGAGCGGAGGGAGGCCATCGAGGACCACGAAGGGGACGCGGAAGCCCTGGGGGCCCTGGCCGGCGAGGTCGAGGGCCTCCGGGCCTCCTGCGAGGCCGCCCTGGAGGACCTGATGGACGAGGGCGARGGTCGAGGAAGCAGCGAACACCAARGCGAACACCAAAGCGAAAGCGTCCTKGAGCGGGCCCGCAGGCTCACCGCGCAGCTGCAGTACTGGAACCGGCTGGAAGAAGCCCTGGAGGAGGCGGCGGAGCCGTGAGCGGAAGGGGGATCGGTCCGTACAGCACCGCGGTGTCCTTCTTCCCAAGGGTGCCGATCGGCCGGCAAGGTGCCGATTCTTTCTCGGCGAAAGCACGGCCGAAACGMCCGAACACCGAGTGCCGTTCGTCCGGCCGTGCCGTGCCGTTCTCGGCGGACCGGAGGACGCTGCCGGACGCTCTCGCCCGCAGAGAATGAGAGAGAGAGATGGCCTCGAACCAGACGGCCGATGGATCTGGATCCGATTCTGGTCGGCGTCGGCGTCGGATCAATCGATCAATTGCTTTCTTCGATCGTCGAAACACAACCCAACACATTGCGGGGTTCTTTTGTTTTCCGYGAAACCCACGCTAGCGTTGGAGTTGATACACCCTCGACGGACGTTTTCTTGTCAAAGAACCGTTGCAGGTATCATCTTTGAGGACAGACGCTTGGCACAGTCGGGAAATACTGCACAAAATAAGAGTGATTAAAGGAACAGCAGGATGTGTACGTAGATTCCATTTCTATTATTATTTCCACTCTATYTACATGGATGGTGGCTTGAATTAAATCTACAAACATATAACTTTACATACAYGAGAAWATTGGCAACTCGATTCCTTTCATTCCATTTTCTACACCGAATGACTTCCATATTCACCCACACACTTTGTGTGCAATGGGAAGCGAATGGAAAGGAGGGAACCGTATCGACGCGGCGCGGCACGGCACGGCACGGCACGGCACGGAATGGAATCGAACCGAATCGTCCAGCATTCGATTTTTCCCTCATTCTAGACCCAACCAAGACAAATCCTTGATGCTGGACCAGATCAAGCAGCGGGGCTTGGTTTTTCCCGGATCGACGAGGCCCGTCTTCAGCCCGCGGCGAAGGTATCGGTCTCGCCTCCGGCTTCTTCGGGATCCCCCTTTCCCGTCAGCGGCACCATGTCGTCGACGTCGCCGYCGCCGCCGGTGGTGCGCTGTTCTTCGCCCCCGCGACCGTTCTCGTTGTCCCAGGGCCGCCGGAAGAGCTCCTCGATGTCTTCCAGGGACAGCCCCTTGGTTTCCGGGAGCTKCCAAAAGAGCCACACCCATCCGATCAGAGCCACCGCCCCGTACAAGCCAAAGGCTCCGTAGGCGGTCAGGACCCCCGGGCTGCTCAGGGTCAGAAAGGTTGCGCTGATTACCAGGTTGCCGATCCAGTTGGTGGCCGTCGACAGGCTGACGGCCATGGATCGGTATTCCAGCGGGTAGATCTCGGAATTGATGGTCCAGGGCATGCCCCCCATGCCGATTCCAAAGGCCAGCAGGTAGAGGACCATAAAGACGACYGACAAAAGACCGTAGGGATTCTTCTTGGCCCCGGGGTCCCCACCGGTACCGGTGCACCCGTCGTACTCCCACGTCGTGGCATTGGATCCCGCTGCGGTGMCCCCCCCCAAAAGTGGCCCCGCGAMGGATCCGGGAAGACAGGTGCCCCCGGAGTAGCCACAACCCTCCAGTCCGACACAATCGTAGCAGTAGGCGGTCAGCCCGTCCCAGACGGCTGCCGGCTGCGAAGCACACCCGCCGCTGGCCGATACCACCTCTCCCGAGGTGATGCGGGACAGGTAAAAGGATCCCGCCAGTCCCGCCAGCGAGAGAGCGACAAAGCCCAGGGAGGACAGGACCAGGGTCCTCCGGCCCGCCCTGTCCACCAARAAAATGCTGGTGGCGATTCCAACCACCTGGGCGAGGGCCGTAAAACCCGAGAGCCACACGGCGGTCAGTTCGTCGTAACCCGCCATCTGGTAGATGCTAGCGGCGTAGTACATGACGGTGTTGATCCCCGAGCATTGCTGGACGGCCATCAATCCGCATCCCAGCAGCAGCGCCCGCCGGGTGGGTGGATCCGACATCATTGCCATCCACAGGTTGATGCTGCTACCAGAGGATTTCGAACGRTTSGCCTGCGCTTGTCGCTGCCACTGCATGGCTTGGATTTCGTCTTCGAAATCGTCACTATCGACGGCACTGGCATTGCTGCCGTACGGCAGCGAACAGTCACAGTTGTTGTCACCAGCCGAGGACAAAGACGAAGACGATGAAAACGGCAGATTCGATTTCTCGCCGAAGACATTGTCGTTTTCGCCGTCGCTGTCGTCGCTCCCAACCCCTTTTTGAGCCTGCGGTTCTGCTTCTACTCGCCGAGCCTTTGGCTTTGSCTTTGACGTCGACATGGCGCCCATAATTTCACGCAGTTCCGAATCCGCCTCCTCAACAGTGTACCGGAGCTCTCTCAGCACGAGGGAGGCCTCGCGATAGCGGTTGTTGTTGGCCAGCCACCGCGGCGATTCCGGAAGGTTCAGAAAGCCCACAAACATAAAAGCACTCGGAAGGGCTGCCAAGCCCAGCATGTACCTCCAACCAGTTTCCGGCATCCAATAATCCAATATTCCGTCGACCATCCCGGCAAAGAACTGTCCAAAGGTGATCAGCAGCGTGTTGACCGTGACCAGCTGCCCCCTCATGGACGGCATCGCCACTTCGGCAATGTAGACGGGGGTYGTGAGCGAAGCCACCCCGATGCCCAGCCCCAGAACAATTCGACCCGCCACCAGCATCTCGTACCCGTTAGCGAGCATCAAGATGACCGAGCCCAGTCCAAAAACCAGCGCCGATCCAAGAATAGCCGTCCTRCGTCCATACTTGTCGTTGATGGGGGCTCCCAGGAACAAACTAGACACAAAGGCCGCAAACACCGTGCTGGAAACAACCACTTCTTGCTGCTCGTTATCGAGATCTAGTGCACGCTTCATAGGGAGCATGGCGCCGCTCACGACGCCCGTATCGTATCCGAACAAAAAACCTCCAATGGCGGCGACAAAGGTCAGATAGCGCATYCTTCTCAGAACGATCGCTTCGTTGTGTTTGTTGCTGCCCTTGTTTTTCTGTTGCAAGGCATCGCCCTGTTGTTTTTGAACAAGGGCGTCGACGTCAGCATCGTTATCACCACCATCGTCTTCATCATTGTACATTGTTGGCTTTACTGCCGATGCGGAATCGAGTTCCATTGTGATGGTTGTGTAGGTGGCCCCGATAAACAACAGTTAGACCGACAACTCCAATTCTTCTTTTTCGAAGGTTCAAGATTTTCGATAAAGTGCACCGTGTCGGGATGTCACACGTTAGTTTTCTTYGTATTTATCACAAGGAATGTCAGCGATATATTGTGCAGGGGTCATAAGTTTGAGGGTTGCGCAACGCATTGAAAACTTTAGCGTTTTGACGTAAAATCTCATGTTCMATCATCGGTACCAATCAATGCTGTAACGYACGATACAATTAGTTCTTTTGCGTTGCGGTTCGCTGCAAATGAAAGTCGAAATGTCGTCTTGGTACTAAAGCAAGGGGCGTTTCAATCCCTTAAGTTCATATTTTCTCGAAGAAACAGCCCAGTCGATTGAAAAGAACTTGTTACCGGATTTTTAGTGTTTTCACCCCCTCAGAACCCCATTTCCATACACTACTATTCCAGTCGAAAAAAACTATCATAGTATTTTTTCTTTTCGACTTCCATGAATACTGTATTACACACGGTACGTACTGTACCACAGGTATGTAGTACCGGTATGTATGTGTTCAAAGTCCAAAGCGCAATGAAATTCGAATTGCTCCAAAATTCTTTCCCAAAATTCACAAATTTAACTAGAGTACGSTTCGTACTTACCGTACGGTACTCGTATGGCACTCGTACCGTGAAAGAAATTGCAGAGATACCGTAAGGTGGTGAGAAGTTCGTGCGAAAGAAAATCTGACTAAAAAAATATGGCGAAGGGTGTTGATCCGAAAACATCGAACTCAKCTCAGTCTCATATTTCAAAAAAAATCTGGTTGTCAAAGAGAGTAATAATGTCATCGAAGCTGATCCAGGCATTGCAACAGTATGCTTGCCCCCTTCGCACCGCCGATTGTCGTTTCTCACAAAAAGCACCAGCAGATCCCCGCCCGGTATTTGATACATCCGATGCTGTCCCTAACATGACATCAACGCAGGCAACATCCCTAGAGAAGAAGAGATCGGTAACAACCACCCTGGTTTTGTCACCGTGAGTCTAACAAACGCTCTATCGCATTTCAACTTAGTYCAGATACCAATGCCCCCACTCGATCCAATCCAAATTCCTCTGGTTCTGGCGAAATTTAAACTCTCTCTCTGTACGGGTTCGGCTATTGAGCTTCCTTTTCTGTGATCGGTTGTGACGCACCGACTGGAAGAGARAGCGGATAATAATGGGAATTTCCGWCMKTTYYRGCAGGAATAGCATAGTTCAGAGACACCGTGGCCGAGCGGTTAAGGCGATCGACTAGAAATCGATTGGGTTTATCCCGCGTAGGTTCGAGTCCTGCCGGTGTCGAACGGAGTTGTTTCCGCCATCTCCAAGACATTGTGGCCGAGCGGTCTAAGGCGCAACGTTAAGGCCGTTGTCTTAATTGGCGGGGGTTCGAATCCCCTCGATGTCACTTTTTTCTCTTGTATGTCGCTCTCTCTCTTTTGTCAGCTACTGCCGGTAGCACAAACTAAGAAGATGACTATGTGCCATTAATGAATGAAGAATTGTACGACAACCACGWGTGCTTAATCTTTYAACCTTCATCAACAAGCTCCGAACAAAAAACAACGGTTGGCATAACCATCATGCCGCCTATGGCAATGTGATACTACTGCAACTGATGAAAATGTTGCTGCTGGTGATTTGTTCTTCTTCTTTCCTTCAGCAAGTATACTATGCTCCTGTAGTACTAGTAGTATAAGCAGTCGTAGTACTATCAGCAAAACCTCATAAATTTTTTAGATACTGTAATTACTAGAAGTATTTCATTTCGTTGGCAACTGAAGATCAGGATATCATGGAATGCATCAAGTGCTACTACTTTTACAGTTATGGAAAAAGGACAAAAATAAAGAAGCCAACATCATGACACCGCAATTCAAGAAATCATGTTTTCATCGTGATTACTACTAGTAAATCATCAATCAAGTGACGACAGGGAACGATGGAATGAAACTAGATCCCGTGTTCATGGTGGTTGGGGTTGGCGGTATCCTTTCTCTAGTGCACATACATTATTCATTGAGCTGTCTCCCTAATCACAATCAAAATGGTGCCTGTACGTTTGACTTCATTCCATCGTTTTGTTCCTGCTGTCTACAGACGTTTGTAGTGCARCACTAGTATAGTATATTATGTTGATGTCGAAATAGCAGCCATGGCTGATAATGATTGATAACAAAAGCACAGGACTCTGTTTCTACTACTAGTAGTTTTACGTCTTTCTTCTTCGCTTCCGGGCCTCCCGCATGTAATTTTGTGTTTTTCCCTGTGTTTTTTGTCCCATTCCACCGTGTCCTCGCGCTGGTGTGAGACCTCCCTTTCCTCGCCCCTTCGATCGGGCCCGCTTGCTCGTTTTGGACATGAGGAAATTCTTCTTTCGCTCTTTTTCCGTGTTGGTAGAACCACCCGCGCGGTCGTTGGACTCGAACTTTTCGCGCCCCGCCAGCACCTTTTGCAGCCGTTCGGCCTTGGACTTGCGCTTCCGCTTCGCTTCGGCCATGATCGAGTCCGGATTGACGGCACCCTTGATGCGGACCTCGGAATCGAATTCGTCGTCCTCCGAGTCCCAGTCGTCCTCGCTGAGCTCGTCGAATTCTCGCCCCTGGGCAATGGCTCTCTTTCGCCTGGCTGCCTCCCGTGGGTCCCGGCGGGCCCGTTCTTCCCGCTCTACCAGCTTTCGCATCTTCGCAAAGTCGGAGGCCGAAAAGATGCGCGTAGCAGAAATCTCTTGCTTCAGTTTGTTTCGTTCCTCCTGTGTCATTTTCGACAAATCCATGACCTCGTCCTCCTTTTCGCCTTCGGTCTCGTCCTCCTTTTCGTCGGGATCGACAACGATCAGATCCGGTGCCTCTTCGTCTTCGTCTTCTTCTGCTGCTTCTTCGTCGTTCATGGCTTCTTCTGTTTCTCCTTCGTCGTCGCTGCCGTCTATTCCTTCTGCCTCCAATCGTTCCTGCTCTCGCTCCCAGGCAGCCTTCTTTGCCTCGTATTCCAGCAGCAAATCGGCACCCTCTACACCGTAATTGACCTTGGCTTCTCCGTACCGCATGGGCTTGGCCTTGGCTTTGTGGAGGGCGGAACCCCTGAGGCCGCGGTTCTTGCCCTGGAGCAGGCTCGGATGGGTCTCCCGAATAAAGTTCTGGTACGATTTTCCGGCGATCGAGACGGACCGGTCTCTRTGGTTGGAGTAGGCGGCAATGTCCCTCACAAAGGCCTCCACATCAAAGGCGGATGTCTCCATCGAGTCCTCCGAGTCTTCGATGGACAAGACGGAAGGGGTCCGGGCGCAAATCGCACGGATCGCGTTGATCCCCACGGCCATTTGTTCCTCCGAGCAGCGCTCCGTGACAAAGTTGTGGGCAATCGTCTTGAGAATCCCGTACACCTCGTCGGGCGGAACACTCTCGTGGCAAGCCTGCACAGAATAGGCTAAAACGCCGGTAACGTCCTTCTGGTGCCCCCCCATGTACTTTTGCAAGAAGGGATAMAGGCTCAGGACCATGAGTTCGTGGTTTCCCACCAACCGCGTCACGAAGTTCATCATCAGCAGCTTGTTCTTGAATGGAATGCTGGACTTKGGGTTCTTTAGGCGTTTCAGCACGGACTCGGCCAGGCCCTGTGGATCCCGCAACAATTCGATGGCCGGGTACAATTTCTTGGCGCTCTCCACACCCTCGTCGTCCCGGACATCCATCCAGTCGTCGGTCTCGGTGCCCTCTCGCTTTCGCTGCATACGATTCCGGCTCTTGAGCTGCCGCCTGACGTGGTTGACTCTGTTTTTYGTCTTGCGGGAAAAGCTGTGGTAGTTGACCTTCTGGGAGGCGTCCCACTCTTCTTCCTCTTTGACGGAGCTGTCGAGGGCCATTTTTTCTTCGATGTTCAGGAAAAATCGCATGGCCCGGCTGGCCACGGTCATGTTCTTGGATTCGACCGCCGTCGCCAGGATGGCSACCGTTCGGTCATCCGTCCAGACTTGCCTCCGGTAKAGCTCACAGACCATGTCGGTGGCCCGCTTGGCGGCAATGTCGGTGGCGGCTTCCTCGTTGTTTTCGGCACCGCCGCCCCTGCGCTGTTCCTGTCCGTGGGTGGCAACCACCCGGTGCAGAAAGGACTGGATGGCYCGGTTGACCCTCTCGTCGCGCTTGCCCTTTTTGTTGATGTTCCGAATGTCGTTCACCATGTGTTTGTACAGGATTTCTCTCAGGGTCTTGTCCGGAACGACCGCCATGAGGCGAAAGAACAATTCCAGGACCCTCAGTGGCTCCAGGGCACCCTTGTTGCGCATCAGAATTAGTGCAGAGACACAGGTCTTGCGAATGTCCCTAGGGAGCTGGAGCGCGGCCGAAGGGAGCATCGTCGTCATGGTGTGGAGGTCTTCGTTCCGATAGACTTTCTTTTGTTTGTTGTTTTTTCCTTTTGTCTCCGGCTCTTCCACGGCAACGTCGTTGTCCTCGGAGGGGCGCTCTCCCACCAGCAATCCAATGATAATCGCCGCCACACGGTCCGACTCTTTCCCCTTGTAGGAAGACGAGGCGGTCGCCGCCGCGAACTGGATAAGTTCCTCGAGCTTTCCACCCGACGAGGACGACTTGGAGGTTTTGCGCACCGCCGAGGAGGCGTCCCCGCCCCCGACGATTCCAACGGGGGATATCGTCAGGATCTCGCATTCCGTTCGGAGTCGGCGGATCTGCGCCTCGTAGTCTTCCCGGTAGCCACTGGGATCTCGTTTCACGAGATTCTGCAGCTGGGACAGTTTCATCGTAACGTCGACCTTGGTCCCGGCTCCCGTGGAGAGACCCGCTCCTCCTCCGCCAGACGATGATGTTCCACCCGCCATTTTCGATTCCAACGCTGCTTTGTGTTGTGTTGCGCTTCGCTTTCTATCTATGAATCTATGAAAGCTTGCGGGGGTAGTGTGCTAGTGGTGGTTTGTCAGTGTACCTTGCACGACGCAGAAGAAGAAAGGGTCTTCTTCGTTTMGTCTTTGTTGTCCTTTTCGGCTTCCGAAACTTTTCACAAAGAAAGCGAGAAAAAAGGAGGCAAACGAAAGGAACGATACGATTCCAACAAACCAAAACCGCGTTTTGATTCGGTGGTAGCGATGAGAACGGACGAGAACAGACGTCTTCGRTAGTGAGTCCCGATTCCGTGAAGTCCCACGTGGAGTGCGATGACGTTCGAGTCCGTCCGGGAATGGAATACTATTGATATTTTGGGATCGAGAAAAAAACGGCAAGGAATGAAAATCGCCTCMGGATTTCCCCTTCTAAGAAACCCTCCCCTCGAGCTTCAACATGGATGGAAAGAACGCAAGCAAYAAACCACCATGACAACAGGATCCCAGAAAGGTCGAAGAGAGTAACACCAACCCCCACGAGATCGTAGCAGCAGAAGACAACGGATCCTTTCCATCCTTCCCCCCAAAACACACACACGCAACAAAATGGTATYGGCGCAGCAACAATCCCTCGCGGCGGTCCTCCTCTCGGCCCTCGTCCTGGCGCAGTGCGTCTCGCCCTCGGCGTCCTTTGCCTCGGCGACCGCCTTTTCCCGCACCCCTTCGCCCCTGTTGGCGACGGCGGAGAAGGAAGCCGCGACGGGCACGGACGACCTGCTGAAACCCCCRTACGAGATCGAACCGATTCCGCTGCGGATCGGCCACGGGTTCGACATCCACCGCATGGCCCCACTCGAGGAGGCCGGCCAGCCGGTCGTGATCGGGGGGGTCGAAATYCCCCACAAGGACCAAAAGGTGCGTCTTCACCGGACCCATATTCGGAGCGATCGATCGGATGGACGAACGAATCAATGGCAGCGGTGATTCGTTTCGTTCGTTCGTTCGTTCGTTCTTTGTCGCGTTTGTGGCTCTTTTTATGCCTTAGCACACGGTGGTTTGGAACTGCCCCGGATAAGTGCATCGATGGCTTCATTCCGTCTCACAACATAATGCTGCTATAACGCCGAACCTCTTGRTAATTCCTTGCGATGGACGAATGTATGGTGCAAAATTCTTGATTCGGTCTCGGTAAAACGATTGGATTGTTCCGACTGTTCCCGCGCGTTTTCTGTCCCGTTTYGGCAAATGAATCGGAATTGTATCAACGCTCCCAGTGGACGGACGCCGAGGGCAAGTACGTCGAAAAAGGCGGGATCTACGAGACCCAGCTGGGGGTCGTGGCGCACTCGGATGGCGACGTCATCTACCACTCGGTCGTCGACGCCATCTTCGGGGCCCTGACCCTCCCGGACATCGGCCAGGTCTTCCAGGACACCGACCCCCGGTGGAAGGGCTGCGATTCCTCCAAGTTCATGGAGCACGCCTTCGAGGTCATGGACGGCTACGGATACCAGATTGGGAACATCGACGTGACCCTCATCCTGGAGCGCCCCAAGGTGGCTAGCTTCAAGCCAGGGATGAAGGACAACATCGTCCGTCTCCTCAAGACAACGCCCGGACGTGTGAACATCAAGGCGCGAACCCACGAGCGCGTCGACAGCGTTGGAGAGTTGCGGAGTCTGAGCTGCCACGTGTGTCTGACACTGGAGAGGGTGCCCGAGAAGGAATAAACAAACAATCCAAACGAATCCAAACATAAGGCACACTAAGCAATATCGCATACGATCCAGCAGGCCCRTGGATTTTGGTACAAAATCTCTAGTCTAGATTCCGAGCGAAGCAGTRTTTTGCGAAAATACAGAACAGGCTATACTTGTTTCAGCTTCACAAATAGATACTCTACCACGCCCGGATGTACCTGARAMTTTTGCTTGTTTTTGATTTAGTTGTGTGTGCTCYGTGAATGCGGTGTGTCGGTCTCATTCGTCAMCGGACGCGGACGCCGAGATCGATCCAGTCGCGGCGGCTCCCGGCACGTGCTTGTCCGACGTGGGATAGTTCTTGCTCCAMAGCTCGTTCAGCATGTGCATGCAGGCCTTGTTCCGAGCGACCCACACCAGGAACTTGGCCGACTGGCTGGGGGTCAGTATCTGGCGGATGCAGTGGAACTCCGTTTCCAGGTCCTGCCCGCACTGGGCCAGGCGTTTCCTCAGATCCTTTAGGACCGTCAGGGTCTCCCGGAGGGTCTGGTCCATTTCCTCGGCCACGAAGCGGGAGTCCTTCAGGGCGGCGGCCTGTGCGGGCGTCACCTCGAGCTTCCGGACCAGCAGGGTGAAGAGCTCCTTGGACGTCTTTGGGGCCGCCTGGGCGGGGGGGGCCTCCGGTGAGGGGCTGCCGCTGCCCGAGACGGGGGCGGGACCGGGCACTGCAGGAGAATGGTTCGYAACCTGCTGGGGGGGTGCYCYGTGCGTGTCTTCGGTGACCGCCTCCCCGCTGCTGTCCTTGAGGGTGTTCATGATGAAGCTCGTCGTCTGCGTCGGCATGAGCAACCGCTCGACGTTCCGGAGGTGGAATTCCATRGCCGACCTCCGGTCCCGCCCGTAGTCGGCGAATTTTTCTTTGTATTCCTCGATCTTTGCGTAGATCTCCGACTCGGAGGCCTTCCCACTCTTGAGCAACTCGTCCAGGACCTTGGTGCTATCGATCTGTTTCTGGTGGTTGGTTTGTTCCGCCTCTTCGCCGACCTGGAGCGAAGCAACATTGTTGGGYGGAATGGTTTCGTTTTGTTTCGTATTGAATTAGACGTACCCATGAATTGAAATCGTGTGTCGCAAATTGAGTGCAYGGAATGCATGCAAAAAAGAGGGTCAGGTGACACAATGGAATCGCATTTCAATTTCAACACAGTTGATTCAAAAACGGAGACTCTTTCGTGCACGGTGTCGATGCGATGAGATGCATCTCCTAACTCCCGTAGTACTCGTACTCACCTGCAACTGGAGCCGCAGCCTCAGGTTCTCGCTCTCCAGCTGGTTGATTTGYCCCTGCATGTTTTCCGTCGCCTCTCGTTTTCGCCGGCGGCATTCCCTCGCCGAGAGCCGGTTCTTTTCCAGCCGCCGSAGCTTCTTCTCGCTGAGGGGCTCCCCGTCTTTCCCGACGCGCTGCGGCTGGGCCGATGGCGGAGCSGTGGCACCGCCGCCTCCCGGAGCCGCCCCCGCCGGGGCCTCGCGGCGGGTCCCCCCGCTTCCCGCGACCGGAGCGGGCCGCTTTCTCGGGTTGCCTCCCGGGAGCGGCGGAAYCCCGCCGGCAGGCTTCGCCGCCGCGGTGGTGGCCGCGGCTATGGCTGCTGCTGCGGGGGCTGCCGAGGCGGAGCTGGGGACCGGTGGCAGAGCGGCTCCCTTGGGCCGGGACGACACCGGCGACGAGGCTTGCGGTGTTGGTTGCTGTTGCTGCTGTTGCTGCTCCATTTCTCGTTCGTTTTGCGCTCCTGATCCTGCTGTTGTTTACGTCTTTACGATGTTCTTGCGCCGTTTGTTTCTTTGCCTGGGATTCAAAATTGATACACCACTCGCAAGCATAACTTCGGTTCGGTACAGTCCCGTGGAAGTCGTTAAGAACAACCAGCTCTTTGCGGTTGTGGTTGTRGTTGTACCGTAGTTGCGGTCGCGTTGCAGGGTCGAATCACGAAGTCGAATCAATCCGCGCGAGAGAGAACGACAGTCGACCCTAATGACAGGGATGCAAAGTGGGCTCTGTGCCAGATTAMAGTAACGTCCAGATGCAGAAAGCAAGGAAGAAGCGAATCGATCAAAGAATGCAGTATCAATCAATCAAGTTCACTTGCCGCCATCGCCGTGGTCCTTGTCAARATCCATCAACGAAGAATCTCCGAGAATCGATGCATCTCGGTCGCCGTCACAATTGCTGAGTACGGGTACGAGTACTCGTACTGGGAGAGGGCGCGAGTAGCACGTACTGTACCATGCTGTACAGAACAGTAATGGTGTTGTACGTACGATACGGGAAGGCACTACTGTAACGAACTGGACTCGTATCGCACTTTACTGTATGGTACTCGTACCTCGTACTTACTGTACGGTAGGAGAGTTACCGGTACTCTGTACGCTGTGAGTTGTGAGTGAGAGGTAAGAGTGCATCATATTTTATATATGTATAGTACATATGTATGTCATGGAGTAACAAAGATACCGAAACATCAGCTTTCGACCTCTCGAGCASGAAAGTGAAAATTACACTTGTACATAACCTACGTACGTACCGTTAGGCGTCTTCTTTGTATGCCCGGTACTGCATGTTGATTGTTGATCCAAACAAGTCTGGTACTCGTACGATACGAGGTAAACAAGAGGCAATGAATAATAATATAATCCGATTGCGGTATGTAACGTATCCATGTTAGGTACAATACTCGTACTAGGGTAATAAACAAAATAGACGGAGTGCAAGGTTAAAAAACAATGTTATTAAAAAACAGACATCCTCCCTGWACTACCAGGGAAGAATTTTTTTACAGGATAAGTTATGAATGACGGGCTTTCGCAGGAAGCTCTTCCTGAGATAGCATTTTGCTGTGGTTCATCCGAGAAGATTCGTCACRWGTTCGCACGCTTTAAGGGGTTTGCCACGCGATCTTCGCAATCTTGGTTTCGTCTCTTTTGGTTGTGGAACCGGTCTTCGCCGCCCGTCTCGGATGGACCAACCGAGGAAAGGGATCGGTGTGCCATCRGGAGACAGAGAGRGCTTGAAGGGCAGACCRTAGCAAGGGAAAACGGTCTTGTTTGGGAACCGGGGGCGGCGACCTAAGATCCAAATCTCGTTCAGAAACACGGATTGGCATCGAAACGGTCGAAGACCGCAGACGAACCGGCGAGGTGCGGGGCAGGCGGCGGGTCTGGTGCCGGAGGGAACGAGGCACGGACCGCAGTGGTGCATSGGGGGCAGTAAGCTAGAAGGAAAAAGAGGCCGAGGAAGAGGGCCAATGATCCGTTGGCTCGGGGTACCGCAGGAGCACGTCGACCTGGGTCCGAAGAGGGGTGCCCTACAGAGAGGCTTCGAACGGGGTTGGTTCAATGGCTGTGCATGACCAGCAATAGTAAATATATGACACGGATTTTCGATGGGGAAGCCATCTACCTGAATCTGAAGAGGGAGTCCTTGGCRAAGGCTTCAGCRGAGGTGAAGAAATGGGTGGTATACCGTCGGCAACGGAACACGGAACACARACGTCGAGTACTTTCTGCGTTGAAAAAGAATGGATCCGTCGGCCTCTGAACAGAAGAGGGGGTCCTTTTGCCAAGGCATYTGTTGAGGCGAGGCCCATCGACGTGTATCGTTAAAAGATGATTCAGTAGTCTTCCAGAGGAAGATCAGAAAACKTGGGACATCGAATCGGAAGAGGGGATCCTTGCGAGAAGGCTTCGGATAAGATGGGGACCGGAAAAAATCAATAAAGCGCGTCGTAAGGAGGGATCCTTGCGAGAGGGCTTCGGATAAGATGGAGACCGGGAAAATCRATGAAGCGTGTCGTTAGGCTGAGGATGAGAGCTTTCGACATCGCATCAGAAAAAATGGCATCCTACACCTCAATACAAAGAAAGGTTCCTTTAGTTGAGACGTCGGTGAAGGACCATAGATGGAATCAATGAGACGTGAAACGAGGCAGAGGAAAAGGGCCTACACACATCTCAAAGGTTTTGGTTCGAGATCTCATTTAGAAGAGGGATTCCTTGGATGAAGGCTTCTTTTGAAATCGCAGTCGTAGGATTACGTCGAACGCAAGGGAATATTGAGAAAAGGTTGGGACGAGGAACGACCTCAACCCTGACTCGGTGCATGGGGCTGTCGGTTTTGATAGGAAGGACAAAGTGGTATGTAGTGGGTGGGATGCGAAACATGAAAGAGGGTCGAGAAGGGGGACCTTCCAAAGAATCGCCAAGGATTCCTACACTCTCAAAGAAAGCTGCTTGCATGGTGGTGCTTTGTACACAAACTGAAGTCGAGTTAGGCCGCAAGTGAGGAAAGAACTTCGGCGTAAAATCGATGCATGGGGTTGTCTGTGCCCAAAAGCAGACAGCGGCGTGTAGTGGGTGCACGGTGAGCGATGAAACGCGAAGAAGGCCGAGGAAGAGGACCTCTCGCAGAAAAACACGGTCTGTGCTGATCAAAGCTGCCGGCAARGTAGCGACTGGAGCTTCAATCGTCAAAAAACCGTARGATATGGTCGAGGATGAGGACCAGATAGTTTTGTAGCTTCAGTGCTCGCGAGGACGGAATCCAAGAGGGAGGASCACTACGCCATTGTCGTTCGGAATATCCGCAGCTGAAATGCACTGACAAAACAGACAACCGACCAATAAACCTCAACAGAATCTAAAATGATTCGTTAGGAAAATACATTCCGGTGTATTGCTCGGTTGTCTGATTTTGTGRGAAGATCGGAGACAAAGCTCTCTCTCACCTTTTCATGCATTTTTACGCTGACGCAGTGAATGGGGAGGATCGCATCTATCTCATTCTACCTCCTACTATTCTAGTAGTATCATACAGTAGAAGAGAAAAAGAGTCTCGTAGGGTAGGTGTCATTTGTTCTTTGTGCCGGCTTGCTGCCGAAGATTCATTTACGGGTTTCAAATGCGCTTTGAGRGCATGCTGGCTCTTGCGAATTTTTTATCTAGGCTATAATTTTWGTTAGGGGTTATATATTTTCATCCATATTGCWTMTGGTAAACGGTACTACAAAAATGTCAACGTGCCTCAAACGCTGCTCATGATTCCAATTTGCGTGCGTTTAGCCGTTCCATTGAACTTGAGTGTCATGGATGCGCAGTCTTCGCCCCTCTCAGGAACCATTYTAACCCTCAATTTTGAACTTGGTGCCTATCTTCCGGAAACTTTATCTCTTTCATTTGCAMTCAAAGTTCTKCTCTTCCAATCATGTGAAGTTATTGAGTTSTTTTGACACGATTAGTGAASAATAAATTTTGCACGATGAAAATAATCCAACATTTATGTCATRTGTTTCCTAAATAATWTTGTTYGCWGTTTGCAAAAATCCGTTGCGTTTYGGTTGTACCGGTGCGCAAAGTATCCTACACAACCTACGTTCAGTATTTCAAAACATAGCAAYTCACCTGGTACGATTACCGTGCCGTACKWMCSKWRGRAA